AGATGGCCTGAGACAAGAGCTTCACCACGAGTTAGGGTTTCGGGGCTCTTGAATGAGCAATGGATGGATGAATGAACGGTGAATTTCTGAATTGAGGATGTTGCCGGACGTTTTTTGTCGCCGGAGCTGAATCATTGGAGTAAGGTCGACTGTCGGAGATGAACGATCGAAGATTATGGAAATTTGGGTTGCTCGAAAGAGATACGATGGAGTGTTTGAGAAATAATTCTCCATGGCCCGGTTTTTTTTCTTACATCTCCTCGGTGTTAGCGGTGGTAAGCCCTTAGCACCGTTAAGGTAAAGCGAGCCCTTTTCTCTGGTGTCGTTAACCCCCCACTAGAGGCTTTAGCGCCGCTAGCCTTTCCCCCCTTAGCGGCGGTAACACTCTTACAGCCGCTAGTACCTACCAACTTTTTTTATATACAAATAGTACAAAAGGTTGCTCGGTTTAATGTCGAAAGCTCGGCATTGGCTTTGTGGATCAAATGTATGCTGGGTCTCCGAGACTGATGGTCTCGACATGGTGCTTCCCAAATTCTCCATCAAAATATGGCTTCACTATTTTCCTATTAACCACAAAAAAAATCCCCATTCGCTGAATTACGAATTCGGACAACTCCAAATGATAACACTTCATCTACGATGTATGGTCCGCTCTACCGAGACTTGAGCTTTCCCGGGAATAGACGAAGACAAAAATTAAATAAAAGAACCTTCATGTCGGGTACAAGGTCCTTCCGAACAATAGAAGTGTCGTGAAGCCCTTTTTACCTTGTCCTTGTTGATCTGGCGTTCTCGTATGCCTCGTTCCTCAACTCTTCGAGTTCCGAGAGTTGCAAAATTCGTTCCTGGAACCGGCGCCATTTTGTTGTAGTTATTTTTACCAGAGTTAAATCAAAAGATTCAATCCCTGGGTCGTATCACAAGGAAGGTTAGTCAGATTAAATTGTGTGAATATTCAATCACAAAAAAAGAAAATAAATCTTAAACACTCTAATTCATTAATTTTGTTTTCATATATCAACTAATGATTCTCAAACTAAGCAAGATAAAATTCCATTTGCAAACAAATTCACTTAATGATAAAAGAGATAGGGAGGACAATCAGTTGCTCGATTAAAGGACTTAAATCTACTCGTCCATAGGTTCACTCTCAGTAACTTTTCGTAACAAGAGAGTGACTGTAAACGATCACTATCAAATCCAATAACACATGGACAATACATTAACGAATAAGTCTATTTTAATTGTGCCTAAATCGACCGACTTCTCCCCTTTCGGTTCTAGAAGTCGATTAACTAGGTTAGAATGATGATCAATCAACTAACCCTAAAATTCACACAACTCCATAGATTGAATAATTAAGAGCACGTAATAAAAAATGAATTGAAACAATCATCCACTATCCTTAGCGAACAGATTTAGCTACTCATTACGATTTCAACACCAAAATTCACATCAAACCAAGCCATCATCATCATAAACAAAATGAGAAAGAAGAACTTACGATTAGTGTAAAATTCAAATGTCAAATCCAAGTGCAATCCAAATCCAAAGGTTACATAATGAGTTTTTCACTCTCCAAAATCAAACCAAAGTGAAAACTAAAGAGAGAATATGTTTGTTATAGAAAAAAAAGGAGAAAATACAAGTCTGGAATCAGTAAAAACTATCGTAGACCCAATGTAATCATTCTTCTATTCGAAATTCTGTCAAAATCGGTACTGTTTCAAAACAGGGGTTAGTGGCGCTAAGGGTGCAACTTCCGCCGACGCTGGGGTCGTTAAGCCTGTGTAGTGCCGCTAGCTAAGCCTCGCTTAGCGGCGCTAAGGTCCTGGCAGCTCCAAATTTGTCGTTCTCGACTCACCTGATCCCGGCTATCGTCTCTCATGTTCTGCCTGAGCTGGGAACTTGATTTTCGCATGTTTGAGTTCCACAAAATGATAGGAACTCCTATAAGTTGGACGGCCAATTCACTTCTCGTATGAAGGCTCATGATTCGGTCAACCTTAAACCTGAAACCACCACAACCGAAAAAACAAAAAACAAGAAAAATAGGAAGCAAAACAACGAAAATACCAAACACACCAAAATAACAATAAAACACGAAAAACTACTAGAGGACCAAAAAAACCTACAAAACGACCTAGAACATGGGGGAGAGGGGGAGGGGAAGACACACAAAATACCAACAAAATGGGACAAACAGATTGCTCCTCGTTTCTTTTCTCTTTGTTCTTTTCTTAGTCTTTTCGACCTTCTTTTTGGCCTTTAGGTTTTTGTCATCGCGTCTTGACTCTATTTCTTGTCGGGCTTTTTTCCTGTTGAATTTAGAATTTTAAATGACTGTCACGCGTCCATGCCCATTCCGTTATACCTCTGCCTTGCCATGGTCATGGATGAGCAGAACATCATTTATCAGTTACTTGCGAAACATAAATAAGTTGGTTCGCAACATAGATGGAAATTGGACAAGTCATTGGAATGGTTGTAAAATAAACGTACAGTTGGTCTTGACTATAGTTATACTAGTACAATTGTGTATTGAACAGGATCCCAAAGAGAAGCAGTTCGTCTTATACTGGTCGGCGTAAATGAACTAGGTTGTGACTAATTACTGCATTTTCTTAACCTGTAAGATATAAACACGCACATGTATATAATAGTTACTGCTTTGATTCTTCATGGTGAGATTCATTCTGTCTGAATCAATAACCAACTAAGTTGGATATTAATACTGCACTACCTGGTGTGCTGTTTGAATATTTACGGTCACCATGTACTTCTGATGGTTGAAGTTTGATGATGTCCCCAAAGTGAACTCAGAAAGATTGTTATGTTAAACCCTGCAGGTGAATAAATGTCGACTTAATAATAATGCTTTGAGTAGTGCTAGCTTCGGTTCAAGAAGTTGATTAATTTGATTGTAGTAATAAAATTAATTGACGGATATTATATCTTAAACAGGAGAAAGGTAATTCGAGTAACTTAGAATTGGAGCTCAAATCGTAATTTGAGAATTAAATTGGGTGTTTTCAATGTTACTACTTTAGTGAAATGACTGTATTATTCATTTTGAGCAGAGTTGGCTTGGCCCACTGTTAAACCCAAATATGGGAAGCCCAACTTAATGTCTTCTTTGGTTCCTATTGAAGTACATATATATACCACATTTCTTATGATGCGATACATATAGTTCAATACACTTAAGAGAGATCTAGAGTATCCTTCCCACCAAGAGAGTTCGAGAGGTGTTCAATAGAAGATCCTGAAGTAGTCGAGCACCCGACCACGAACGGTGGAGCACTCGACCACCGCGAACCCACGTTGCATGCCCGCTTACACGCTGCTCCAGTGACCTGCTCATGGCGATCCCGTCACACACGCAATGCCCGACATGACCCGCAACGTCCCGCTGCTCCCGGCGTCCTGTCCCAACGACCTGCTGCTCTCGTGCATGCTCCGAGCTCCCGACAATCCCCGCGCTACTCTCATGCGCCCCCTGGGTCCCGCACGCTGCGACTAGCTATTCCCGACAATGCACGCACGCAACTCCGCGCGATTCCCCGCGACTTAGACAAGCAATTTCCCACGAGTGGAAAATCAACATATCTCCATCAAAGAAAATCTACAACATATCAGAGTCTGTAAAATTTTGAGTCGTAAGACTTCTACGCTAACCTATAGAGCAACTTCACATAGGTCATTTCGTAGATATATTCGTAGCGTGCACAATTACGACGATCCTTATAAGTTCCAGATCAGGGGTCATATGGGGCCCGCATCTCGTCGCATCTTGGCCACCAGAAACCCTCACCTTGACATAGACGACCATCGAGTACTGGGCAGGGAACCGCGACACCTGGAGGGACGAGCCGCGCGGCCTGGTGGTGACAGCGCCCGGACAGTGCGTTGAACGAGGGTTCCTGCTCCGAGCGAATTGGGGGAAAAGTCGCGTTCAATGACTTTCAAATACCACATAATCTATTATATCCAGTACATAATGAGATTTCTCATTCTAAAACTATGTATTTTGATTTATATATTATTTTCATTTATTGGATAAATAACAAACATTCATAGTGATGTTACAATCTCCCTATCTCCCTATATCTCCCTATATATTAATTCAGAACGCGCTGAACCTACGTGGCTGTTTCTGGTGCTTCGGAATCCTGTGTGGCAAAATTACATGCTTCGTTATTAGGCTTGGGTAAATTTTAATTTAATTCCAAACAAAAAATAATTAGGTTCGGATTACCATAAATATGTTGATTATTTATGGTCATGTTACACGCATTAATGGCATTTTAATATCATTCTTTATTATAACTATTGAATTATATATGTATTTTAAAAGTTAATAACTTTTGTATTTTTAATCAATTTTACATATGTAATATATCAAATTAATCTTCTTTTAATGAGCTCCGATTTAACATCCATATTGTATGTATAAAAAAAATAATTCATATTTTTCTTTATAACATTAATAAAATTATTTTTTATTAATGTTTTTAATATTAATTAGAAAAAAAAAATTATTTATCAAATAATGTATTTATATTTCAAGTAATTATATGATATATGTTATAAAAACGAATATAATATAACACATGTAAGTCATAAATAACACATATCATTCTAAAATATATAGTAATATATTTTTATTTTTATTTTTTAAAACAGTAAACTAAATGTAATATAGTTTTCTCATTAATTTTAAAATTTAACAACAATTTTTTTAAACAAAAATCGAAACAGAATTTTAAGATATGGAATATTTTTTCCCATTGCGTAGCCGAATGAAATAAATACAATTTATTGGGCTGAAAAAAGTAGTTCAAATTTTATCACCACCATGGCTATTTGCTCGTTGCTACCCGTCAAAATACTCCAAAAGTCTCGACTCCTGAATAAAAATAACGTTTCGACACAAAACCCATACTCTCTCTCTCTCTCTCTCTCTCTCTCTCTCTCTCTCTCTCTCTTTCTAAGCAATGGCCCTCGAACTGTGGGAGACGCTTAAAGAATCAATCACAGCATACACGGGCCTCTCTCCAGCTACTTTCTTCACGGTCCTAGCCGTAGGCCTCACCCTTTACTACGTCGTTTCGAATTTGTTCACCTCCTCTGGCGATGGCCACATCCAACAGAGGTCAGCAGCTTTTGAGGAACAAACGGAGCCTCTGCCGCCTCCGGTTCAGTTGGGCGAAATCACAGCTGAAGAGTTGAAACAGTACGACGGCTCCGATCCTAAGAAGCCCCTTCTTATGGCGATCAAGGGTCAGATCTATGACGTCACGCAGAGCAGGTATGGTTTTTTTTCATTATTTTCGTATTTCCGCTGATTTTTGTTATGTTTGATTTGATGGTGTTGTTGGGTACCTGTTTGGTTTGTGGTTGTAGTGAGTTTGGTTCTTGCTTAGGTTTCTTGTAGTCTAGTCAATTCAATTATGCTACTCATCAAGCTTGTTCGAGTTTTTTCATTTTTCGTTTTCCAACTTAAAATGATGTTTAATTTTGTTTTAACTGTTAATTGAATTGAGTTTTAATGAGTTTTCCTCGAGTTGGAGAGAACTAAACTAGAGTGGCTTGGTATTATCATATAAAAATTATATACTGTTTTTTTCACTATATCCAGTTCAAGCCGATTTCGCGTGTTATTGTTTGGGGAAGTATGTTCAAGCCCGCTTTGTTTCGTCGATGAATTTAGCCTTGACGATGTTTAATTATTGATCAGTAGACTATCTACCAGAAGAACTTAATAAATGTCGGCTTGGTGATATGAGCTTGAGGAAGAATAGAAGTTGAATCTTTTGTTGATTTTTGGTGTTCCCTCATATGTTAGTTTCCATTAAGAAAAAGGTACTTTGGAATAGGTTTTAAAGATTATTGTTACTTTGCGAGCTTTTGTATCTTCAGTGTGCATAAAGAGTGTGTTTTTGGCGTCCGGGAACTTCTTTTGTCATTTTTCGGCTTATCTCGTTAGTTGGCTGTCTATTCGCTTTACCACGTATTTGCATTGAGCTGGATAAAGTGTTCACTTCCTTTCTGAGTTAAAATGATTCTCCTTCTTTTCTTGTGCTGTAAAGTTGGTGGGATCCATTTCTTGTTTGAAAATGAGCCTGCTGTGAATTGTCTTGAAGTGGTAAAGTAGCCATTATGCAAGATTTTTTGGGATTTCAAATTTCTATCTCTTTAGTAAATTAGCTGTTGGTGGGATCTATATCCGGTTGATGATTGTGGCATTCATTGTGTTTTATTACTTGATTCAAGACATCTGTGAGTTTGTTCTGTTACATAACGCCATCAGCACAATCTGAAAATTTCTTTATTACTTGAAAGTTAAAGCGGTCTCAGTTCTTTTGCTACAATCTAGAATTTTGTTGTAGTCTACTATTTCTGGACCCGGCTCTTTCTGGGCCTTTTGGTCATTGCTGAAGTGAGTATGAGGTCGACTTTTCCCGTTTCCTTCCGATCGTTTTTGGCTAGTTATATTCTGTAGAAATGCAAATTTTGAAAAACACCTGGTTAGAAGCTTTCTCTGATGTAAGCTTTCATTGCAGTTTTTACTTTTTAAACGTCACATTAGGTTGTATTAATTAAAGTACTTGGAAAGCACCTGTTTTGGCCTTTGCTTTTTAGTTGTAATTGGTTTGGTATTTAGTTCACGAATTTGATCTTCACAGATTAGATGCAACACAAGTTCCAGAACCGACATATAATGTCAATGTTCATAATATGGAGAAATGTCCTATTAGAAACACCTCATTATAATATCAGGGGTTAATATATGGAATGTTCAAAGTTGACTTTTGGACTTTGTTTATCCAAAGATATGAGTTTAAATCCTCTGTAACAGTGGCATAAAGAAAACAAATAATTTGGAACAGTTGAGCAAGACCAAGATCAACATGTGGTTAACCACAGGAAAAGAAAAAAAAAAAGGAAAAACAATGGAATAAGAACCCTAGAACTTATGTGCAATATCTCGAAATCACTCCCTTCCCCTTGATTATATCACTATTTTTCAAATTGCAAATTTTAAATGTGGTTATTTGTAAAACATACCAATTTCATGGAATATAAGCAAAAGATTACGGGATGTTTTTTACCTGCATCACGTTCCTTCTTGAAACTATAGTAGAACTCGATACCCAAATTGTTTCTGTATGCAACATGTCACCTCTTTTTCACATACATTTGCTACTTAAACCTTTTTTTTTTGGTTTTGTTGACGCAGGATGTTTTATGGACCTGGTGGCCCGTACGCATTATTTGCCGGAAAGGATGCGAGCAGGGCACTGGCGAAGATGTCTTTCGAGGAAAAAGACCTAAATGGCGACATTACTGGGCTGGGAGTGTTTGAGCTTGAGGCCTTGCAAGATTGGGAGTATAAGTTCATGAGCAAATACGTCAAAGTCGGGACTCTCAAGACAACTGTGCCAATAACTGAAGGCCCAAGTGAAGGGCAACCAGCCGAGGCTGCCGAAGGCATTCTTCCGAAGCCTGTTGATGGCGAAACCACAGAGCCAACTGATGGTGAAGCCTCGAAGCCCACTGATGGTGAAACCTCAAACCCCAACAAGGATGGCCAGTCCGAGACTGCCATGAAGGAAACTGAAGTAAATGAGGAGAAAAAGGAGTGATTTTTTTACTCGATAAATGAGCTTAAGTGAGGCATTAGGGGCTACCTGCTTTATATTGTGACTCATTGGGATGTATTTTTAAGTTTGCGATAGCAATTATGTACTAGAACTTGGAACAAACGGGTTTGTAATAAGTTAGTTGAAGCTTATGGAGACAAGTTTTGTATACCTCGATTTCTCTGTCTTTTTGTTTTCAAATTCTTTGCACCCGTTTTGGGTGTAGTGCCCACATCTGAAGCTCGTTCAGTTTCAGTGGTTTCTTGTGTCATTTTACTGTTTTTCTGGTGGCTACCCGTGTCAGTTTCTCAGTTGTGTAGTAACTAGAGAAGGAAATCGGAAGATATTTTTTTGTTTCACCATCTCTGCAATTAGTACATGCATAGGTAGATTTATAAAGCTCATGCACGAGCAAACGGCGTCGCCTTACAAGGTATTAAGAAGACAATCAAAACAACGCCGTGTCAAACTAAGGAGGTTGTATTCAATTGCAACTTTTAGAGACTTTTTAAGACTTTTAGAATTTTAGTGTATTCAATTAGAACTTTTAAAGACTTCTAAAAAGTTTACATGTATTCAATTGAGACTTTTAATGACTTTTAATAAGTCTCTAAAAGTTTCAGGGTATTCAATTAAAATATTCTGAGAGTCTTTATAAGTCACCCGATATTCAAAACAGAAAGACTTTGTAAGACTTTTTAAATTTTGAGACTTTTGAAGACTTTTGTAACAAAATTACAACGGAAAAGTCTAAACTGAAATCTCATCAATATTGGTGAGATTTTGCTGGACTTATGTGACTCTTTTCACGCTCTTTTTTTTCTTTCTAACACGACTTTGTATCCCGTATCATTTTCATGCTCTATTATTTTACTTATTTATTTTGATACCTTGTGTAAGTTTTATTTTCATTACATATTATTGTGATCTTTTTATTTTATATATTCTTTATTATGCTTATTTTATGTGTGTATACCTTATTTTCTCATTTTGCTATCTTGTGAATTTGACTTTTCAAAGGTTAATGCTTCCATAGTTGCACTTGCAAATAATTTATTTGTTCTTTCTTTTTATTTGTAAATGTTTATTTCAAAATATTAAAAAAAAATATATTATATTTTCAAATAGTTTATTTGTTAATATTGAAATGTTTTGAATATTATTGATAATTTTATAAGATACAATTACTGTTTTTCTGCATGTTTGTATCTTGTAAAAATATAATCTAACCTAATAATATTTTTCTAATATAACAACATTATGCCAAAAAAAAAAAAAATCAATAAATAATTAAATAAATATATCTTAATTTGAGTTGATTATAAGTGTCGTTATAGTAGAGATGTCTAACACATATTTGACCTTGTACTCTTTTTAAAAAAAAATGTAAGGCCCTGCTCGATTCGACTCGTTGAAGCTTGGATCGATTTACTCGTTTAATAAATCTAAAATCCTAAACAATTTGTTCGTGAATAACTCATTTCGCATAAAAATGAGTTTATTCATAATTTTTTAGAGGATTAAAATATACAACATTTTTTGTTTTTTCATTTTTTCTTGTTTATATTAGTTATTATGTTACGTTTATTAATATTTATTCAAACATAATATTATAACTGCAAGTATATAAAAGTCTCAATAAGTTTTAGAAAGTCCATTATGAAAGTCTTCAAAAGTCACTGATGAAAATTCTCTGAAAGTCTCAAAAAGTCCACTAAAGTTATAAAAGTTCTACAAAGTCCACAAAAGTCATCAAATTTAAAAAGTTTTAAAAAGTCCTTAAAAATCTCAATTGAATACACCCTCCTAAGAAAAAAGAAAAAAGCGCTACCCAATTATTTAAGTGAGACACACCTTGGCGCAAAGAAATTTAAAAGTTTGTTATAACCGCAACTAAAGGGACAAAAAACATCATGAGAAAACCAGCAGAAGTTAACTATTTCTGCACCCCCTCCTCAAGTTGGAGTGTGGTTAAGCTCGCAAACACCCAACTTGAACAAAAGCGCTTGAAACCAGTAGATGGCATGGGTTTTGTGAAGAAATCAACAAACTGAGTTGATGAGTGAACATATGGAGGATGCACAAAACATGTCTTGTACTTCTCACGCACTTTATGGCAGTCGATCTCCAAATGTTTTGTTTTGTCATGAAACACGGGGTTGGCTGCAATGTGCATATC